GTGAGCCAACTGCCACTACACTCCAGCCTGGGTGACAGAGTGAGACTCTGTCTCAAAAAAATACATAAATAAAATAAAATAAAATAAATATTTAACCCAATCTGTCCAAACTATTATAATTTCAATGTGTGATTAACATGGAATATTAATGAGACACTTTATATTTTTTGCCATACTAAGTCTTCAAAACCTAGTGTGTGCATTTTACAAATAAAGCACATCACAACTCAGATGTGAGTTTTCAGTGGTGGTGTGGAGTGTACCAGAGCAACAACGTTGTGTATGTTTTTCTTTTTGGTTTTCTCTTTTTGTGTGTGTGAGATGGAGTTTCGCTCTTTTTGCTCAGGCTGGAGTGTAATGGTGTGATCTCAGCTCACTGCAACCTCCACCTCCCAGGTTCAAATGATTCTCCTGCCTCAGCCTCCCTAGTAGCTGGGATTACAGGCGCCTGCCACCATGCCTGGCTAATTTTTTATTTTTAGTAGAGATGGGGTTTCACCATGTTGGCTAGGCTGGTCTTGAACTCCTGACCTCAAGTGATCTGCCCACCTTGGCCTCCCAAAGTGCTGGGATTACAGGCGTGAACCACCGCGCCTGGTCAACGTTGTGTTTACTGGAGAATATTTTACACTGTTTCAGTTTTTCATTTTAAGTTTAAATGAATTGAACTTAAATGAAATGAACAACTGTTTTCCTTAGTTGCACTGGCCACATATCAGGTGTTTAGTGACCACAAGCTACTAGTGGCTTCTGTCCTTCTTGGGCGGCCCAGACCTAGAGCTTACCAAGGAGCGAGCACCTTACTGGAGGTGCCCCCCAAAGGTCAGTTCTCATCCTGCTGGGAGGCCTTCCAGAGTTCTCATTGCCCTCTGGATAAAGGTCATGCATGCTGTGTAGCCTGGCTCTTTTGGGCCTCAGTTTCCTCATCTGTAAAATAGAATTCTGAAAGCCCACCCTCCAGGATAATTGTGAGGATTAAAAAGATGGCCGGGCGCGGTGGCTCACGCCTGTAATTCCAGCACTTTGGGAGGCCGAGGCGGGCGCATCACGAGGTCAGGAGATGGAGACCATTCTGCCTAATGCAGTGAAACCCCATCTCTACTAAAAA